ACCTGGCCCTACGCCCAGCGGTCAATGCCAGTCCTCAGGTACACTAAGTTGCAACGGCAAAAATTTTCCTCAATTCAAATGCTCCCCTACCGTCACCTCCTCAACGAAAGCGAAACTAACAAACAATGATTTTAGCGAAGGTGGCGATGGGGGAGGTCCATCGAAGTGTGATGACAAGTATCATAATAACTCGGAACTGATTGTGGCGCTATCGACGGGGGGTATAATGGAGGGTCAAGGTGTGGGAAGAATATAAAGATAAGGGCTAGTAATGGAAAGAATGTGATGGCAAAGGTGGTTGATGAGTGTGACTCAGTGAATGGATGTGATAAAGAGCATGATTATCAGCCACCTTGTAGTAATGATATTGTTGATGGGTCTGATGCTGTGTGGCATGCTTTGGGGCTCAAAATTGAGGCGGGTGTTGTGGATGTTACTTGGTCCATGGCCTAAATCTAGTATTAGTGTGGTATAAATAAGAAACTCGAAATTACGACAATCAGCTGATCGACTGTTTCATGGTGTTAAGGATCAATTGCTGTTAACCAATAGCAGCTTTTAAGTTTCATACTTAAAATGTAAAAGTCAACGTTAGTTTGTGTTTTGTATAAATACTTATAACAAGTGAATGAAGTGTGTAAGGTTGCCAGTTTATGAAAATTTGATTTCTCTGTTTTTCTTCCCTCTCTGTGTTTCTTGTTCTCTTATATTGTATTAGAGCAAATGACTAACATCTAGTCTGAATTTCCTTTATTTTCCCAGCAACTAAACAGGCCCGAGAAAATGCCAAATTCATCTTTGTTGTAAACTAAGCCTAATTGCTCAAACCTAAACACCAATTACTTAAACACAAACCAACAGTAAAGAAACAAGAATCAATACCACAATATACCGTGGTTCACTTATTCAATATCGAACAAGCTACGTCCACATTGAGTTCTCGAATATGGAGATTCACTGCACTATGATTAAAGCCTCAATGTTACAAACTACAATCAAATCACGCTCATTGCAATCAACACAATCATTCACTCACCTTTCCCCTTTTTCACCGCAAACTTGAACAATCACTAGAGAACTCACTACCCTTGAAGGAACGCACAACCCTCAACAAGACTCTAGGCAGATTCACACAAGAAGAACAATCGAGTGACAAACCCTAACAACCAGGTTACAATAGCGTTTTACAGAGAAAAGAAAAATTGAGACTGTTACATAAAATGACAAATCAAAGGTTCTTTTATACTGTTGACTGCTGAGTGAACTGGAGTCGTCAAATCTTGCATTCATCGAAGGGCTCAAATTAATTTGAGTTTACTGAACAAAACGGCAGCGTTTCACTTGGCTTTAAACGGTGTCGCAGACTTCACCATTTAACAATCTTCTTAACAGCTCATGTCATGTCACGAGCTTGAAGAGCATCTTACCCTGTTTCCCTGGATTTAGTTGGTTTTTTGTATGAAATAGTTTTGTAGCTAATTAAGCTATAATGAATATAGTTCTATAGGAGTTTGACAGACGTAGAATTAAAACTGGAGAGCCTAATAGCACACCTAGTCTTTTCTAGGTAAATAATTGAAGGACACCTGGTCTTTTCGCACGTTGGGACTCATATATGTGCAAAACTTGGCCCTACGCCCAGCGATCAATGCCAGTCCTCAGGTACACTAAGTTGCAATATTGCTAATATGGAAAAACTTGGATATTATTTGGGGATAGGGTCAACAAATACTAAAGAAATTTGTGTTGATAAGGAATATGAAGAAGCTACTGGATTGGATTTTGAAACTTGAATACATAATCAAAATTCGTTTGGATATTTCAGGATAGGGTCGACAAAATAGAAGAAATTACTGATAATCCTATGAGAATCCTTCAAGCCATGCTTAATTTATTGGAGCTTATGTCAGTGGAGACACAATGATGAACGATTACGTATCAAACAAGGCTGGTTTCCAAAACTAAGGGTCCGTTTGTTTTATTATTTTGGATAGGATTTTGGAAATAATATTGGGTAATTGAATAGGAGAGTATTACGAGGTAAAATTTAAAAATTAACAAAAAAACCCTCTAGGTTTGCTAATTTAACTAAACAACCTAATATATAAAAAATTTGTAAAATGACAAAAACACCCCCACCCACCCACAATGCCATATTCCAACCATCACCGTCGAAATCTAGCTACAAAATGGCATTACGACACAAACCAGTCGGATTTGGCTGGTAGGGCGTCGATATGACATTTTCCGACAAGATCCGATCTACGGTTAGATCTGGCCATCGACGACCGCAAAAGTCCAGATCTGGCCATCAGCGACGGCCAAAGATATGGTCACCGTTGTCGGTCAACGATGACCAAGATTTGGCCGTCGTTGATAGTCAACGATGACCATTTCTTTGGCCATTACTGACGACCAGATCGGTGAATTACCAACCAATTCCGGTCGTTTATAGGCTGTTGTGATAAGATTCCAGCTACCATCGATGGTGGTTGCCGGAATTTGGCAAGTATGGGTGGGTGGGGGTGTTTTTGTTAATTTTCAAACTCTTTTCTGGGGATATTTAATGAACTTAATAAACTTAAGGGGTTTAAAAGTACTTAAAAATATACTAATATTTCTCAAATAACAAAACAAACAAGTGTTTTGGGATTATGATTGGAAATATGGGTAGAAATAATAAAACAAACGGAGCCTAAAATTTTGAGTCTTCTTTAATCTTTACTTTAAAGGAGAGGAATTGATGCTGATAGACAAAAGTGCAATGCCTAACCTTGAAGACTTAAGGATTGGACCATGCCCACAATTAAAAGAGATTCTAGCTAAAATTAAGCATCTAAAAAATGTTAAGATTCTTGGATTTTTTTTCTTTTCCTGTTGATAGAAATTTATTATATAATAAAAGATGAGACGTGGGTGAAAATTACCCAAAATATACCAAAACTCCATGTTACTTTTAAGAGCATAGGAAAAGCAGTTTATCGCACCACTAAGTATCTCCCATCTCTCTTGCCTGCATATTTTGAGCAGTTTATTGAATAACTTGAGCAGAGTAACTGTTGGGATTGTGCCTTAAATCCCATATTGCTTGGGAATGGGAGTTACAAGGGGACTCTCCCCTATAAATAAGACTAGTAGATTAAGCTTTTAAAGTATCTCAGAAAGTGTAAAATAAATACCAAAAGAATAGTCATTGTGGGCTATTATTAAAGGTGTAATTGAGTTTTTTGGAATAGTGTAAGGAGTTTGTAATTTTTCTCTTCTGAAAATTATATAGTTGTAAGCTTTTATTTAGTGGATTGTTTGAGTAGATAGTGATTGTAGGTTAAATTGATTGGGCCGAACCACTTCAAAATTCTTGTATTTGGTTTGTTTTATTTTTGTTGCTTGCTTTAATTTTGTGTTGAGCTGTGGGAATCCTTTTTCAACGGTAACAATCCAACCCATTTGTGAAACAACATGTGTTCCCCTTAACTCATAAGACTTTGAAATGTTTATCATTATATGTGAAGTGTAAGTTTTACGATCCGACGACTATGAAATGAAGTATGTTTTTTTGTTATCCAATAAATAACTAACCGTGTCGTGTTTCATCTATTATAATAAACAGAAGACGTATCTTCACATGTGAGAACACGATGGTATCAAGATTATACAGTTCTTTCTTGTGAATGGTGTAGCTGGCGGTTTTTGTATCAGAGACACTGCTTAGTATATATTGAAAGTTGAAGAAAGTATAGGCCGTTTTGAGAATACACTTTTGCCAATCAAAATCAGGCCCCTTGTTTTACCCTGTTTCAATGGAACTATGGAGGATGTTAACGTAGATGGTTTTCATTTAGCTTTTGATCTTGCAGTTGCAGTTATGATGGCTTAAATATGCTTTGCTTAGGTTTAAGTACATGGATTTTTGGCCCGGTAGGCTTCTGTTCTCCTGGAAATTTTACAGGTTTTCTGCTAATTAATTTGATATATCATTGCAGAGCTCTTTTGGTGAATTACTCTTCATAATAATATGAAATTCTTCCAGTATCAATTGTCGTAGGTGAAATTAAGTTTAATTAATACGCTCTATCCCTATGCATTCCAATCAATCTCATGAAATTGTTAAAAGATAAAATAATACATCATAAAACTTCAATAGAAATCCCAAGAGAATGTAAAGAGTACGTTCAGTTTCTCTTCAACAACATATTAGATATAAATTAACAAACACAACGTAACATCAGCAACAAAAACTCAGTACATATTACAAGGGAAATTAAATGAAAACTCCATGCATGCCCTGATCCCAGATCGCATTATTACCATATAACAAGAACACATTGATAAATTGATGGCTATCGATATTAAAGAAGATAATGCATACTGCACCAAGCAATTACTAGTCATAACATACGATTGCTGAATTTGGAAGACGACTCAACGGTGGATTCTCACGAGGGTAGATACATCATCTGTTCATGGAAATACATACAAGAAAAACAGCCATCAGTTGAATTTCAAGAAATGAAAAAGTTAATAGGATTTGAAATGACTCATAATCTTCCTCTAGAAATTTCAAGAAATGAAAAACAATATTATTACTCATAATCTTCCTCTAGAAATTTCAAGAAATGAAATACAATATTATTACTCATAATCTTCCTCTAGAAATTAGTGAAAATTCGAAATAACTAGATATTAAATTACAATTTAAACATGAATGTAGTCTTGCATGTTATATTTTGGAAAAAAAATATATATATATATAAAATATCACTATAATATCTTCATTCTGTAAATTGATAGTTATTAAATGAAATAATTACTTAGTATGTATCTATATATTGACATTGATACTCACTAATACCATCATGATATCATATACTTTCTTCTAAACACAACATGTGATGCAAAGGAAAATATGAGAAATTATAGGCATTTAAATTGAAACATTACCAAAGATATATTAAAGATTTTGCAATGGCAGCAGGTTACTGCCTATGCATGGAAGATAATTAATCAGCACTGACTTTGATGTGACGAGCCTCCGAAGATCGTTTTTCACTATCAATGGTTTCATGAATCTCTGCAATGAGATTCTTATGCTCAGGCATATCACGCAAAAGAATTTCTTTCAATTTGATGAGCTTGTGAAGTCCTTCCGGGGCCTTGTTCAATTTCATGCATTTTCTTAAAACTAGCTTCTGAAGTTCAGGAAGAGCTTCTTCCTCCACGACAACCTGGCACAATTCATTGAATTGTTCGATCTCTAATATCACTAGCTTCTGAAACCAATTGGGCTTGAATTTCAACTCTTCTCCACTAAACGCATCAACCAATCGAAGCTCCAGTAACGAAGGCAAAGCTTGAATGGCCTAAAGAGGGCAGTTCATCAATTTTGACCCTTTAAGACATATCTTAGCGAGACTGTGTAGGGAGCTAATCCATTCAGGAATGTACTGTAAACGACCTCCCAGATATAAACTACAAAGAAAACGAGGAGGTCTACTAACATTATTTAGAGAAAGAAACTCCTCTCCATTTGTTGAAGACACATATAAAGAGGAAAGATACAGCATGTTTTCACTTGATGCACACAAATCCCTTCCATGATCACTTTCAAGCTCTGTGATCCCCAGTTTCCTCAGCTGAACCAAGTTTCCCAACTCTCTAATAATCTTCTTGCTTGCCTTGACAAGTGACAGCTTCTCTATAGATTCTAACCTTCCAATTCCTGGAGGCATCTCTGCTCCCACACGAGCCTGATTCACATTGATCGAGTCAACAAAGAGGTAGATCAACTTGCGAAGTTTACGGATCTTCCTGGGCAACTCCTTGACACATGTTTGTCTAAGGTCCAAAGTCACAAGGTTTAGGAGCTTCTCAATAGATCTTGGAACTGTTTCGATCCTTGTATTTCTCAAACTTAGGTAACTCAGGAGTGTGAGAGCATCTACCTCATGTGGAAAACATTCCAAAGCTGCATCTTCCAGATCTAAAACTGTTAAAAACCTGAAGCTGTCAAGTGGCTTTCCAGACATTAATTGATTAAAACTCTCTCTCCCAAATGAGATGAGGGTGCGAACACGAGATAAGTCCGTCGTTGCGGGTATTGGATTGTTGCTAAAATTGGTGATAGATAAGCGTCTAGGAGGCAGAGGTGCTACAATCCTGTCTCCTTCTGTGAGAACTAGACTGAAGTTATTTTCCTCGGACCTGGAAATGATGAACTCTCGCACAAGAGCTTGAACCCGACAACTTCTAACTCGCCCTTGAAGATCGCTATGACTTACATGCACCAGATTCATTTGAATGAGTTCATTGAGGTACTCATTGGCCATATCCTCCGCTGTCTTACTTTATACCTCCTTAACAAACTGTTCAGCTATCCACAACCGAGCCAGTCTTCCACGTGTCACCGAACGATCCTCTGGGAAATTGCAAAAGTACAAGAAGCAGCGTCTGAGATTATAGGAAAGGTTGAAGTAACTTTGTAGTAATATCTTTCGCAGGACTGATAAATGGTCACTGCTTCCTAGCTCATGACCTAAGCTATCAGGCAATTTCTCAAATTCTGATGTAGTTTGCGGCTTATTGGCCAAAAGGCTAGCTGCAGCAATTATTATTGATGGGAATCCGTCACACCTTGTTAAGATACGCTGAGAACAGCTAACCAAGTGTTCAGGGCATTCATTTCCTCGGAAGGCCTTATGACAGAAAAGTTTCCGTGCCTCATCCCATGTTAGAGCTTTGAGAGAGTAAATCTGATTCCAAGGCTTTGCACAATAAGAGGCTACATCACGTTTATGTGTGGAAATTGACACAACCCGTCCCGAATTTCCTCATCCCGTAGGATCCCGGCGCTCCCACAAGACTCAGTTACCCGAGACGTGCCATGTAGAAAAACTGCAAAACCTGTTTAAAGACATACTTTTCCTGAATAACATCATAGTATTTCCATCTCCGACATCTCAAAAAGAAAAACATGCATCATCTTTCGTTTTACAAAAGAAAAGAGTTAGGGAAACTTTTGGTATCAGGTTTTCCACTTATACTACACATTCCGAAATATGAAACAAAAGGAAATATATGATGGAAAACATGAGTTCTTGAAACGAAAGTCCAAATTTACAATGCGACATAAATATAAAACCCACATAAAAGATGTCAACGCGTGGCACAACCCTGAGCGGAGGCTCACTGCTCGGCACGATCTCCGGAAGGTCCTGGTGGGGGGAAAAACATTTAAAAANTTGCTTAGAGATTACAGGTTATGAGTTACATTGGACACAAATGAATGAATAACGAAAATTTGTTAGGGGTGTATTTGTAAACTTATAAGATATTTTTGTTATTTTTTAAACTAATAGGGGGGTAATTGATTTTTTATAGGGTACCCTGAAAAGGAACCGGAACCTGCATTTTAGGTTCCGGTTCCTTGAATTGAAGAACCTGTACTGTGCGGTTCCGGTTCCGGTTCCTTTTTTTGGGAACCTGTACTGTACAGTTCCGGTTCCGGTTCCCCGGAAAAGTGCAGGGTACCCGGAACCGCTCACCCCTACTGTCAAGCGCCATCTGTTGTTTGTTACTAAAAATATTTATAACACAGACAAGGAAGTTAAATTTCCATATTGGCCTACAATAATTATCCTAGTAAAAAAAATGATTTTAAAAAAAATTAATTCTTAAAATAATATTCTTTCCCCGTTCCTCTTTCCTCTTTCTTCCTTCCCCCTTCCCCCTTCCCCATTGTCTCCTACCGTAACCCACCTTTCCAACTCCTCTCCATACTCCATAGTGCGCAAATCCCATCCCCACCAACTAATTCCCCGTATTTTTTTATGGGATTTTACTGAATTTTATTTTGTGAGTTTTGTGAGAGTAAAGTGCAAGAATTAAAAACTTTAGAGGGAGTAGTAATAGCCGAAATAAGTGAGGATTAAAGTGAAATTTGTCAAGATATTTTTTGTGAATAATAAATTAAAAGATCGAGAAGGAGAATAAGAAAACGGGGAAAAAGAAAGAAAGAAGAAGAAAAGAGTGAAGAAAGAAAAATGGAATAGAGAGAGAGAGAGAGAGAAATAGGCGCCGGCCAAGTGAAGAAGAAAAGGAGATGCCTTCGGGCTTCATTTGGTACACTCTTTCAAATATTATTCTGGTTTTCCTAATAAAATTAAAACTCAAAAATACATTTGTTTCAATATCCTCAAAATCATATTCTACTTTATTTATCTCACAAAATATTAATAATTACATTTCTTGTAAACATAACCCAATTTTATTTTTTTCAAAATATTATTCTAAAAAGTATCAGAATAATAAACCAAACGGACTCAAGATTTGGTGAAAATGAAGGAGGAACTCCATGAGGAAGTGCTAGGCTATAGGATGGAACCTAGTGGGATAGGGAGGGCTCGGACGTGTCGTGACTCTTGACACACCAACTCATCCCACCATAAAAAAAGAAAAAAAATAAAAAACTGTAAAATCCATTCACCATCGTTTGCAAACAATTCACCATCACAACAATCAAAAAACATAAATCAAAATAAAAAATAAAAAAACCACTCAAACAAAAAAATTGAAAAGAAAATTTGGAAGATAAAAATAGTTCAAACAACGTCACAATGGCGGACTTGCTGGGCTAGCGCTATGGACTTAAGTGGGGCCGCAACAATGGCCTCGCAAGGCCACTAGCGATGCAGCCCTGCAAGAACACCATTATGGCCTCAACTGAGGTCGCAACAATGGCATCGCAAGGCCAGCATCATGGTCTCAAGTGAGGCCACAACAATGTGGGGATGGGAGAGGAAGTCAGGTTCGGGGTGGGGCCGATGGTGGGAAAGTGGGGGAGAGAAAGAAGGATCTCCAGATTCCACACTATCCCATTTAGAAAATTAATTTCATACCTTCTTGACATATTTTATGAATAAAACAATATAAAGTTAATAAGAACCAAAGTAAGATAATATTTTATTGGATAATTAAAGTCTCAATGGACTTTATTGAAAAATAAGATAATATTTCATCGTAGTGTACCAGTGTTCAAAAATCATAATTGCTTTGGACTTTTAGCACCTTGCTTTGTAATAAGCGTAATGATGTCTGCACTGATCAAATCATACTAATCTAAGAATTAATTGAGACAATTAAAATTTTGAATTTTGTTTTTTTCTTTAATTTTTAGAGGAAATTGTCGTGATAATAAGAGAGATCTATTACATCAATTAGTACTGAATTAGTATGGGTTTGTGTTAGTGCAAATAACATTATTCTTGTAATAATTAAAGTTGTCAGAATTGAGAGCGCAATAAAGGCGATTGAAGAGACTCGGAACAGAAGCGGATCCAGCATGCTTGAGAGTAGGCCTAGGCCTACCCTCAGTGGCGGACCTAGGATTTTTGTCCAAGGGGGGCCCCCTCGCTCTGCCACTGTTTGCCAATCAACTAATAAAAACATAAGAAAATAACATCCAATTCACAAGGAAACACAAGAAAATCGTTACGTGGAAAAACCTCTTTAATGTGAAATTAAAGCAAAACCCAACAACTTAACTAATTAAACAAAACGCTAAACAAAATGCTAGGGTGTTGATTTCACCTAGATACGCTAACCCAAATCATATAATCATATAATCTATTACCCAATTTCTAATTCCTTGATTGAAAATCGAATTTCCTAAGTTGTAAAACATACCTTCTCAGACTATATTTTTCGACTTATCCCTATTAAGCTTCTGCACCCAACAAAATGAAGATTAATAGTTCAAAGTCTTTTAAGCTTTATGGAATTCTATCTAGATTTCATAAATCGCTAAACTTATCTCTAACGTTTGCTTAATCTACGATATTTATCCCAAGAGGTACAATCACAAATCACTTCTCAGTCTCAGTGTGAACAACACACATTTGAATGGTGATCAAGCATCCAAAAGTCATTAAGCAAGATAAACACTCAATCATGAAATTAAAACTCAAAATAAATCAATTCATATAAATTTGAATCATTGTATCAAGGTTACATTAAACCCTAGCTAAACAACTCAGTTCATACTAAAAAACAAAACAAAATAACAAAAACAGACTGAATCAAGATTCATCATTGAAAAATAAGCAAAAGATGGAGAAATCTTCTCTAATTTGAAGCCCAAATTTTCAATAATCTTCTCCTCCCAAAAGCTGCCTTCCAAATGACGAACCAAAACCTTTTTTCTTTCATTTTTGTGCTAATTTATATCTCTTTCACTTAAGGACCAAGCTCTAGCAAGCCAAAACGCGTCGTTTTATTTTTCACATCTAACGCAGTTTCACCACAGCGAAGCTTTTTCTTTACCATGGCGAGAATCTTTCGGGCCAAATTTGAGCATGAAAGAGTCTGAATCCAGAAAAGTGTTAAACATATGAATTGTAGCCCTTTAAATTATATTTCTACTCGTTCAAGAATCAGCATAATCCGAGGTCTAGAGATCAAGTTATGGCAGAAATACTGAAGCACATCCACAGACGTTTTTCTTCAGTTTCCAATATATTGTTTACGAATTCAAGCCAAGTTTTCACCCTTTTCCAGTCAAAATTAGGAAAAACCCAAAACATTAAAGTTGTAGCTCTACTTCTTAGCTTTCCAAAGCTTCTAAAATCAGGTCATTCTGAGTTTCCAAGCTCAAGTTATGCAATTTATGCTCAAAACTGTCATTTATGCTCAAAATCATCGTTTAAGCCTGTAAAGACAAATTAATAAAATTAGGTAGCAATTATGACCCAAATTGCATGAGAAGTATCCTAAATCCTATCGAAATTCAATGCAAAATCATAGGGAAAAATAGAATTATCATTTACAATAACCATAAATCCACCAAAAATATTTTACACAAATTTAGAGCTCAATCACAACTCTAACAAAAATAAAATACACAATAGTTTACAAAAAAATGGATTACAATTACTCCAGATCCACATGTAAAAAGGAAGTTGGGAATTGGGGAAAAAAAACTTCAATATAAAAAAGATAAAACCTAACTTTTTAATTTTTTAATTTTTTAACTTTTAACTTTTCTTTTACATTTTAAAAAAACTTTTCAATTTTTTTTTTTTTTTTAAAGTTGAAGGCAGGCCTGGGCCTACCCTCAAGGGGCCTGGGTCAGCCCCTGCCTACCCTTTGATTTTGAAAAAAAAATTAAAAATATTTATAATTAATGATTTTTATATAAAAAAGGTACAAATATATATGACCTACGATCAATCTAAATGTTATAATATGTTAATACAGAGGCTCCCACTAGTTTCATTAGTATAAATATATTATATATATATGTCATATGCAACCAATCTCTATAAAACCACAGCTTTGTATCCCTAATTTTATTTATTGAATGCGTCTCTCTTTCTCTTTGTCTTACTGGCTCGATTGAAGTTATAACTTTGAAGACTATTTTCTGCTTTATTAATTTTAGGTATGTATATTACTTATTTTAGTTTAGTTTATTTTAAGTTTAAATCATATTTGTTTTTATAGAAGTTTTTTATTCTGATGAAAAAAATATATAAATCTTGTGAGTTTGTTTGATTTTGTAATTGGTTGAAAATGTTATTATTAATTTGTGATTTTAGATATCACAAATATATTTATAAAATTAATTTTTTATATAATTAGAGGACAACTTGATTTGCACCAATCATTAATATATTAATAATGGTATTTTTATTATTTTATAATGTGATTACTTGACTAAGTATGCTCTAATAGTAATTAAATTAAATCTAGTTGATCTATGACAATAATTTAGATAAGTCAAAAAATTGATTAGCAAACTATATAAGTTTTTAAATTTCACTAAAATGATTTTAAATATAAAAAAATTAACACAATAAAATGATTAATTAATTGCTAAAATAATATTTTAATTAGATCTAATTGTTACATCTAAAAACGTGATAAGTCAGTCCTTGTAATTTTATTAATTAAAGTTTCATCGGTCTTTCTTTACATATATCATATTATCTTTTTTTTATTTGATAGCTATGATATCCAATTATTTCAAGAGATTAAAGAAAATTCTAGCAGAAATTGTTGATGGAGACTGTATTGATATTGAGGTTAATCAAATCTCATTAGAAGAAAAAGCCCCTAATGAGAAAGCCCCACATCAGCAACAACAATACCAAGTAAAAGAAGCTCAACCTTCGGTCGGGATGTTCAATTTAGATGAGCTTGAAACTGATCTAGGATTGAGGATACCAATTAACGAGATTTGTTGTACTGACAAGCAAAATGAGGAAGTTCGAAGAGCATACTTGTTGAAAGGTCCTTGCCAACCTAAAGATCATAACTTTCCTTTCACTCTTTTCGGAGATAAAAAGCGTAGGTTTACACCAGAGTGGTACAAAGAAGGTCCAAGTTGGATGGAATATAGTGTGGCAAAAGATTGCATCTTTTGTTTAAATTGTTGTCTTTTCAAAACTGATTATGGTGACCAAGCAGATGGTGAAGTTTTTGTGAGTAGGGAATTTAATAATTGGAAAGATAAAGCGAAAGTGAAAAAACATGTTGGAGATCATTATAGTACTCATAACCAATGTCATGCCAAGTGTGTTGATTTGATAAATCAAAGGCAACACATCGATGTAAATCTTGCTTGCGTGTCGAAAAATGCCAAATTGGACTATCGCATTCTCTTGAATGCATCAATTGATTGCATTAGATTTCTTTTACATCAAGGATTGGCATTTCGTGGTCATGACGAGTCGGTTGAATCTGAAAATCAAGGTAATTTTATGGAACTATTAAAGTTTCTATCCAATCATAATGACAACATAAAAAAAGTTGTGTTAGAAAATGCTCTGAAAAACCATCAAATGACAACCCCCAACATCCAAAGGGAATTAACTAGTGTTTGTGCTCATTTGACGACCAAGAAAATTATTGCACAAAATTGTGAGAGATAAACAACCATTCTCTTTACTAGTTGATGAATCTTGTGATGTGGCAGTGAAAGAACAAATGACTATTGTTTTTCGCTATGTGGACAAAATAGGTTGTGTTATTGAAAGTTTTATCAGGGTTGTGCATGTTAAGAATACTTCTGCAAAGTCTTTGAAAATTGCAATAGATGAATTTTATAAAAAAAAAAGATTGAGTTTGACAAGTTTACGGGGGCAAGGTTACGATGGAGCAAGCAATATGAGAGGTGAGTTCAATGGTTTGAAGACTTTGATATTGAGAGAAAATAAATCAGCTTTCTACATTCATTGTTTCTCTTATCAACTCCAACTGGCGCTATCAAAGTTGTAAGTAACCATTAAAACATTGGGTGAATTTTTTCAATCTCTTTCTATGTTATCAAACACTATAGCGGCATCTTGTAAGCGCAGAGATCTTCTACGTGATAAACAATATGAAAATGTGATATCTTTGATTTCTAATGGTGATCTTCTTATGAGATGAGGTTTGAATTAAGAATGCAATATTAAACTACTAGGAGATACACGTTGGGGTTCACACATAGGGACAATTCATAGTGTCATAAATTTATTTTCTTCTGTTGTTGATGTGCTTAGGGTGATTGAGATTGAAGGAGACGATTGGCAAAACAAAAGTCAAGCAAGGAGTTTATTACGAATCATGGAGAATTTTGAATTCGTCTTTTTGTTATTCTTAATGAAAAGAGTATTGGAATCACAAATGAACTGTCACAAGCATTACAAAGAAAAGATCAGGATCTTTTTAATGCCATACAATTTGTACAAATTTTGAAGCTTTGATTGCATAAAATGAGAAATGAAGATACTTGCTTTGACATATTGTTAAAAGAAGCTTCTGATATGTGCAAAGATAATAACATACCAATCTTGGAGAATATGGAAGATAACTTTGGGAGGATAAAACGGGGGATTACGCCAATACGAATAAACATAATTTTAAGGTGGAATTGATGTATATAGTTTTGGATAACATTCAAGAAGAACTCAATAATCGTTTTGATGAAGTAAATATGAGGTTGAGGTTGCTTCAATGTATGTCATCTCTTGATCCAAGTAACTCTTTTGTTGCATTTAAAAAAAAATAGATTACTTGAATTTTCAAAGTTCTATCCTGCCGATTATCCTCAGCACGATATTTGGTTGCTCGATGATCAACTTGAAAACTATTATGAAGATGTTAGCACCAATGCCAATTTCACTCATGTCGAAGGGATTGTCGACCTTACTAAAAAAATGGTTGAGTTTAAGAAAGATGTTGCTTACAACAAAGTTTTCTTGCTTATTAAATTAGCATTGGTTTTGCCTGTGGCTACTGCAACAGTTGAAAGAGTGTTCTCTGCAATAAATCTTGTGAAAAATAGTTTGCGTAATCGAATGAGAGACGACTAGATGAACAATTGCTTGGTGGTTTACATTGAAAAGGAAGTTTTTACTACAATTGAAAATGAAGATATCATTGAACATTTTCAGAATATATCGAAGCGGAAAATCGTGTTAAATTGAAAATCTTCAGGTATACCATTCTAACTTGCTTTCATATTTAAACAATCAATATTCATATATTCAAATCTTCAGTTATACCATTCTAACTTTATTTTTTGGTCAATACGCATAGGATGTGTGGATCTTTATTCTGGACGGTTGAGTTTTGATATTAACGTCTGGATTTGAAGTTATACAATATGAAGTTTGACTGCTTCTCTAGTGATTTTATTCTACCTATTTGTAAGTTTTTATGTATTTTACTTGTGTTAAAGTTGTGATTGACCTCTAAATTTGTGTAGAATATTTTTGGTGGATTATGATTACTGTAAACTCTTTTGCTTAAGGTTTGGTGGTTTTTTTAAAGTTTTCACTAGTTGTTTGACAAACAATGGTGAAGCCGTAGAGGCCGCCCAGGCAAAAATCTTGGCTCCACCACTGCCGGAATATGCCTAAAAAAATTAAAGAAAAGAATTGTTGTACTGATGAGCTTGCGAAGTCCGTCCGGGGCCTTGTTCAATTTCATGCATTTTCTTAAAACTAGCTTCCGAGGTTCAGGAAGAGCTTCTCAAACCAATTGGGCTTGAATTTTAACTCTTCCCTAATATACGCATCAACCAATCGAAGGTAAGCAGCTAACCAATATTGATACTCATAAACTTCCTCTAAAAATTATTGAAAATTTGAAATGACTAGTTATTAAATTACAATTTAAGTATGAATGTAGTCTTGCAAGTTATATTTTGGTAAGAAAATGTAAAATACCGCTGTATTATCTCATCATTCAGTAAATTAATAGTTATTAAATGAAATAATTACTTAGTATGTATTTATATAATACCATCTTGATATCATAGATTTTTACTGCTTTTTTCATCTAACAGGGAGAACTATTCTTTCTCATTTTTCTAACGTAAATGCACATTTAGTAAACCGTTAATTCAACTACAGATTGACTTGAGCACCAGACAGAACACCCGATAACCACCGTTATTACCCCCTTCTTGACCCTTTTGTTTTGCAGGCCAACATGACATAGGGTATCCTCTTTTATCCAGGCCCAGGCCCAGGCCCATTTTTTGGGAGTGTGAAGTACTAGGCCAATTGATATTTGATTGAGCCCCAAATGTAAAACCTCAAAACTTTGGACTTTCCTGGACCCGGTTCGACCGGTTTATACCCGGGTTTTTACCAACCTTCCTCCCCGCCCTGGACTGGTCAGTGGCACTCTCTTTCTACTTTGTTCCCTTCAATTCACTTTCACTTCCATCCAATCCATTGTTAGCAAAAGCAGTCTTTTCAATTTCTCCATTTACTTTACCCAACCCCACTTTTATATCTTCTTGATGAAAGAGCACATGGCTTCGTTTCTTCTATTTCTTGGCGTGCCTGTTCAAGATCGTCTATTGGTCGCCAGATTTGGCAAAATTCTTTTTTGTGGGTAAAGAATTGATTTGCTCTATTGGCTTGAATGTTATATAATGTGTTCTTGATTTCTCTTTCTTTAGGAATTTTACATAAGCCAAAATGACTGAGACTGTCACGAGAATCTTATGGTTAATTAAGAACTAGCAGTTGAAATAGAGGGAAATTATAAGGTTATCCCACGGAAGGGATAGGAGTGAATTAAATCTCTGAATCAGAGACTTTGGGTAATATTTCTTAAAAAGCCAAAGTAAAGAAAATTAAAACAATGATTTATCATGCATGCTACCTCTTGGCCTTGGAATTGACCACTTTTTTTGTTATGATTTGCTAGTTCACTCAAACCCATTATCGGAAACGCTTTGCAAAAGCACATATCTAGCACTGCTGTTGATGCCTTGCCTCACCTGAGAACTGCTTGATTGTTGGTGCTTATCATTCCCCCTGCCTGACTTTCTCTTGACTGACCAGTCGCGCATCATATTTAATTGGGAAAACAATCAATCTGCAGGGTGACCTATTTCCAACCATATAATGATGACACTCTCCCCTTCTAGTCATGTTATGTTGAACATAGAAAAGGTCAAAAAAGATCCAGTCATTGAAACGATTGAAGAGAAACATTTTATACAAATGTTCCTACGTCTTATATGGAAAACATTATAGGTGAAGTTGTGCCAAAAATAGGAGTTGATTTTGAAGCAGATAAGGATGCATACTCTAAACTCCTGTCTATTACAATCACGTTACTTGTACTTCAAATAATATAGCTATTGACATAAATTTCATTGTCTAGGTGATTGACAGCACACAACGAAAGTCAATCTTATGCAAATGTAGAGTAAAAGAAGATAAAACGTTTGAGCTATTTTATGTTACTTACATGCTTATATATGTGGATAATATATCAGATTTTGCATGAATGTTGCCATTATTTTAACCTATTATATAAAATAAATTAGTGTTGTGCAAATAGGATGATGGAGGTCGATCCTTCAATTTGATAATCATGATTCTTAAACATTCAGAGTTGTTTGCTTTAGAAAAATCAATGAAACGAGGCCTTTGCTTAAGTTAATTATACCAAGAACTGTAGAGGTAAACGAAGCTGTTAGCGCGGTACCTGTATCTATGTTTTTGAATAAAAAGAAAATGGATTGAACTAAGTTTGTAAAATGAATTTTGATGTAAAAAGTGATGGAACTACTATAATATAAACAAGAAATGATGAAACAGGATAAGGATAGAAATTTTTAGAATCTGATTAAGACCTTTTTTAAAGTCTTTCTAGAAACATTTAAATGGAATTCACCATTAACAGAAGAAAAAAAAAAAAAAAAATAGTTTTCAACTCTTTTGAATTGTTTGTAAAGGACTTGCTTATACAGGAGTAAGAAGTCCTGATATAAACCAAACAAGTCAATTTGACTTAGCCCTTCGATAAGTATCTAATAAACCCAAGTATATATATCGTTACAGGTGCAATCCTGAGTGTTAAATTGCAAAAACGTTGCTGATTATGAACCAACTTGAATTTGCCCTTCTTGAAGAGTGCCCTTTGCTTCATGGGATTTGGATCTGGGTAATATATCAGGGACATAAAGAAATATTAAGTACCTCATTGGATTCATTTGTTTATTTATATTTTGAATTGCCAAAAATATTTTATATTCACTTGAAATTTATCTTTGTTTTGTATGTAGAGCCTCATGCTCAATAGGAGATATTTTTCTTGTTGATTGAATTAAACCATGCTTGTCAAATGGCCATAGACATACCATGCGTGGATAAGAATTTAGAACTGGGGCTGATGCTATGGACTAAGACTCTAAGAGTATTTTTCTTGTTGATAGTAACCATTCATGCTATATGATCATTGGTTAAACATTAAGCAAGCAGTGCACATTTGAACTGTATTTGATGAATAATTTGATAATTTCAAACATCCACTCTCTATGCTAAACTGAAACTTCTTCCAATAAAGTATATATACACCTTTTGGGGAAAGCTTTGCCTATAAAAAAAAAAAAAAAGGGTCCCCTGTTGTCCTTTGTTCCGTTTTAACAAAGCCTCACTCACAAATGTCTCCCATCTGCATCTTTTGTTATTAAATTGTCCGGTCCAATTTTGAACATCTTCATGGTACTTTTGCCTTTTGCAATGATTGGAATAACTCTCTGTAAATGAAAAAAATCTACGATTATAGAAATAGGGTCTGATCTCGTGATTGAGGTCACTGACAATCCGCTGGATCTACACACATGAAGAGACAAGCATGAAGCTTACGGAAAACACTAGAGTGGTGTTTGCCATAGACATTCCGACACTCAAGTCAGCAAGGCTAAAAAAGAATATTTAATAAGAGTTAAGAAAAAGAATGATTACCAGAAGTCTTGTCGGAGGCCAGGACCATGACGAAGGTGTAGAATTCTCGGAAGCAAGAATTTAGGAGCAAGTATGTGATTTTGAGTAGTCGAGATTGAATGTTCGATCCTCCTTTCCACCATGAGAGGGCATGCCTCTGTTTATACAGTAGTCATAAGATATTTGAATCCTAGTAAGACTCTAAGTCTATAATGATAGAAGTTTAATGAATAGGAAAGTCTTTGATTTACTTGCCTTTAGAATAGTAAGAGTCCTAATTTGGGAGATAATCCCACGGAACATTGCCCTTAAGACACTTGTTTTTATTAATATGCTTAAAGAGACTCCTAAACCGCATAATTTTGAAATTGCGTGAAGAAACTTGTCTTATCTTAACAAATAAAAGTTGCTCTTCTGTAATAAATTAAGTCTTGACAGTAACATTTGGTAGATTGAAACTATGCATCCAAGTTTTTAAATTAATCCGTCTAATTTGTACCATCTTCTTGTTTAAGAAGGCAAGTAAAGGAATTACTTGATTTTGAAAATGCCACTTTATATTCTCTTCCTGAGGGAGTGGGAAAGCTCTTCCATTTGTGTGGGCTGGTTGTACTTAACGGAGTTGCGAAGCTAATTCATATGCAGATAAACTCTGAAGTACTTAACGAACTTAGGATGCTTAGACAATTAAGAAAATTGAGCGTTAGACATGAAAACAGTGATGTGAAAGATTTATTTGCTGTAATTGAGAATATGGAAAACCTTGAGCAATTGGGTGTACTTGCATTCACAAGTAGAGATCAGATCTTGATATAGAATCCGTGGCTTCTCCTCCTTTATGTCTTCAGCGTTTCTACTTGGGAGGGATATTCATCAAAATTCTACCAGTTTGGATTTCTCAACTTAAAAATCTAATCAGATTAGAATTGACATTGGATGGGTCAACCTATGATTTCGTGATAGTCCTGCAATCTCTGCTGGTGTTTATTCTCAGTGTGAGTGACTGTGATGAAGAATTGCATTTCAAAGAAGGCTGGTTTTTGAAGGTTCAAAGGTTGTATCTCTATGACTTCAAAGGATTGAAATGGATCAATATAGAGAAAGGTGCATTCCCTAAA